TTTATTTATTTTTTCGATAGAAAATCTCTAAACAAATGTTAAAAACGTGATCTTAGTGATTATATATATATATATATATATATATATATATATATATATATATATATATATATATATATATATATATATATATATATATGGTTCAATTTAGAAAAACAATGCTTGATATAAGTCATACATTTATCTTACTGCAAAACACTTTGACGTAATGGCGATAATGGGAAATGGATACGCGTATCTTTCAAACCAAAAATGTTTCCTTAATTTATGTTTATCTTTACTTTAATATACACAAAAGCATAGTACTTTTTTCGTTTTTTTTTTTTAAATTTTAAGGACCTATTTTTATCTAAAAATTATTTTAAATACATCAAAATTAATAATTTTTTATGCTCTGTATATAGACATCCATATTTATAGTTTTAAGTTTATATATATATATATATATATATATATATATATATATATATATATATATATATATATATATATATATATATATATATATATAATTTTAGTTTTCGTTATTAATAAGTGAATAAAAATGGATCAGAATTTTATTATAATACATTCATTATTCACTTATGAATAAAACGGATGTTTAATTATTTTTTTTACAATCTAAGTATCGTGTATATATGAATATAACACGTAATAAAGTTTTGTTACCTTATATATATATATATATATATATATATATATATATATATATATATATATATATACACACACACACACACATATAATCTTTTATCACATGTTATATTCATATACATATAAAATGTGTATTAACTATCGTTATATGTTTTATTTATATATGAATAAAACATTTATCATATTTTTGTTAAAGTTCATTTGTTATTTATGTATGAATAAGTAGTATGATAATAATACATTCTTTTGTTTTTTTGAAATTAGAACTTATTATTCATATATGAAAACAAATGAACTGTAATAAAATTTTGATGAATCACTTGTTCATATATGGATATAACTTGTAAGAAGAGTTAATACATGTTTCATTCATATATGAATGACAGTTAATCTGTAAAAAATCAAACATATTTTTTATTAATAAGTGATTAACGAATATACTGTAATAAAATCTAATAAATTTTTATTTATTTATGAATAACGAGAGTTGAAAGTATAAAAAATTTATTTATTTTAAAATTATGTTAATATGGATGTCTATTTATAGAGAATACAAAATTATGAATTTTGATATATTTAAAATAATTTTCGATAAAAATAACTACTTAAAATTAAAAAAAATAAATAAATAAATAAAATATTTTCTATATATATTAAGGTAAGAATTATCATAGTTTAAGAAAACATATTTAATTGAAAAATACATAATTATTCATTTCCACTTACGCCGGTACCATTGAGGGTTTAGTGGTAAAAATAAATGATTAACTGAGAATAATTATCTTGTTCTCAACATTTTTTTATATTTTCAATTGAGCTTATATATATATATATATATATATATATATATATATATATATATATATATATATATATATATATATATATATATATATATATAAGATTTTAAAAGTATATATTTAATTAGAGAAAGTATAGTGCTTGGATCAATTAGTCAAACTAGATTGGAATAAATTAAATCCATAACTACAAGAATCATTGTTCAAATCTGAAACGATAACATCTGTCTTCATGATGCAATTCAATCTATAAGGGTTTTGTTTTAAGATCTTAGTGGAGAGAGAGAGAGAGAGAGAGAGAGAGAGAGAGAGGTTTCTTCTTGTTAGAAAAGAAAAGAGGCATGGAAGGGGAGAGGTCGATCATTCTTAGAGAAGTGAAAGAGTAGCGGTGGGTGATAGTTTCTCATTTTGTTTGTAACCACTAACCAGAAAGGAAGGTGAGCGTTAGTCAAAAGGTTGAAGCGATGGTGTAAGATGGAGGGATCAGGGGTTGATTCAACACTTAGGTTTTGTTTGTTTTTTTCGAAGTGAAAATTCATGAAGTCTGTGGACCACCTCTGCAATCCTTTATAGCACATGAGGTGGAACAAACAGTTGTAGCCTATAATAAGAAGCATTTTGTTTTTGAACATCTGCAGACTGCTGTAGTAAACTGAAATTTAAATAAACTAATTTTATAAACTGAAAATAGTTCTCCAACACCGAAATTTTAATAATTCTAGCCTTAAAACTTTGAAAGAATACTAAAAAGAACATGTAACGAAAACAAAAATATAAAACTTTAAATAAAACTTTAAAAAAATAAAATAAGCTAACAATTTTATTCTAGATAAAAACTAATTTTAAAAAACATTAAAAAATGATAAAAAAAAAAAATTAAGAAAGTATTGCAAACAATGTCTATAAAATTCATAAAAAATTACACACGTTAAAAAAGATGCAACTGAAACTAAAAATAGTATTAACAGAAACGGTAAAAAAATCAAGGTTTTTATTTTTTTGTTTTTTTTTGTTTTTATTTTTTTGTTTTTTTTTTGTTTTTTTTTAAATCAAGTTAAAAAAATTTGTGGAAACTATAAAAAGAAATTGTGTCAAATCTGTAAATAAAAGTTAAAAAAAATCAAAGATTTAAAAAAAAAGTTAAAAAAAAAGTTATAACAAAATTAAAAAAAAAACATTTGGAAAAAATAAAAGTTAAAGAGGTTTGAAGAGGCAAATTTAAGTGTTGTGTCACGCAGCAAACGCGCAGATGTTTTTTAGTATGAAGACTTCCAAAAACAAACTGCTGCGAGAATGAAAGTGTTGCGATTGTGCTGCGTGCCGCATCAAAAAGTGGTTTAAAGAGGTTAAAAAAAAAAAAACAAATAGCACTTTAAATTTGTATTCCCCTTTATCTCAATTACAAAAATGGTCCATGAAATATTTAGGTTTTATTAATTTTGGTGTAAGGGCAATAAGTCATCTTATTGTAATGATAAAATTAATAAATTAAAAAAAGAATCTATGAGGATGTCAATAGACCAAGGTGGTTGAAAATAGCCTATGTGAAATGTCATGTAAGATGAGAACCCATTGAATGTGCTACAACTTTTTTCAATGGCTAAAGGGTGAAAAATTGATAGGTTAAGGACTTAACTAACACAATTAATTAGAATTTTAGCGACTAAATGATGATAATTTTAAGACTTTGGTGGTCACTAAAGTAACTACACATTTAGATTATTCATTTGTAGATTTTGGCATTTACCTATTAGCAACCATCACAATATATGTTTTGGTGATTTTGTGTCTAGTCCATAAGTTTTTTTTATTCAAAATTGTATATTATCGACAGAGATTCAATATTTATCGTTAAGACAAAAAGTTGTTTTATTAGATTGTGCGCAAAAGAAGATGTTGCATTTTTGAAGATAACGGAAGTACGAATTTAGCATATGGTAGATTTTATTACTCATATAAAAACAATAGTATGATAAGAATTTATATTTTATTATGCAATAAGAATTATTAGATACATGAATTAGATGAAAAGTAAGGACCCTGTGCAGCAAGTGAAATTTATGTCGCATGCAAGAGCAGCTCATGTGATGTGAAGTTGATTAGAAGGAAAAGAGGAACCAAGACTATTAATGAACACATTATGAACTAGTAGAAGCAATAGTTTCCATATGTACTATTCACTTTCCTTTGTTACCAAACTATCATCAATACCCACATGACATGCTTCACATTTGCTTGCCTATATGCTTCCACTTATCCAACTCACAAGCAACTTATTCAACACATTATATATATATATAATATATATATATATATATATATATATATATATATATATATATATATATATATATATATATATATATATATATATATATATATATGTTCAGGTTTATTTGAAACCATTTTAATTTTGTGAGACCGTGGACTAAATCTAAAAATAATTTTAAAATGCAAAATAAATGGAAAAATCCAAAAATTCTTTTTTTAAATATTATTTTCGGAACTTGAATTAACTAAAAAAAATAAAAAAAAAATGTTTTTTTTTTGAAAAATAAGTGAAATATTCTAAATAGAATATTACACTGACATATTCTAAAAAATAATTTTAAAATGCAGAATAAATGGAAAAATCTAAAAAAAAAAAAATTTAAATATTATTTTTGGAACTTGAATTAACTAAAAAATATAAAAAAAAATAAAAATAAATTCTTTTTTTTTTTAAAAATACGTGAAATATTCTAATAGAATATTACACTGACATATTTTAAAAAAAATAATTTTAAAATGCAAAATAAATGGAAAAATCCAAAAATTCTTTTTTTAAATATTATTTTTGGAACTTGAATTAACTAAAAAATATAAAAAAAAAAATAAATAAATAAATTCCTTTTTTTTTTAAAAAATACATGAACTATTCTAATAGAATATTACACTGACATATTCTAAAAAAAATAATTTTAAAATGCAAAATAAATGGAAAAATCTAAAAAAAAAATTTTAAATATTATTTTCGGAACTTGAATTAACTAAAAAAATTTTAAAAAAAATAAAAAATATAAAAAAATAAAAAAATGCGTCTCACGGTCTCACAAAATTAGATCGTCTCATATAAACCTAAACTCCTCTCTCTCTCTCTGTCTATATACATATATATATATATATATATATATATATATATATATATATATATATATATATATATATATATATATATATATATATATATATATATATGCACGTACGTAAGTACATAGTTATATACAACTCAAAAGTTTGGAAGAACCAATAAACTACTTCACGACACTTAGATCGAATTAGTCTAAAGATGTTAAATTACATAGTGCTTGGACGAATAGAAATCATTGAGGTCATCTATCGATTTAAACTAACGCTCGTGATGGGATTAGGGTTGTATTAGTGGTTGGGATAGCATTACCGATGGCCCAGTGACTCCAAATTTGTAGGGCCATTTTTTTATGAATTTACTTATATTATTATAAAAAAAAATGTTTGATATGAAGTTGTTGCAGGCAGCGGTTAAAAATGATAAATGAGTTTGGAGTCAAAATTCGTGGAGAATACGAAAAGATTTCAGCCGATTGTTCAGGAACTCTTCTTGATCGTTGGCTTTCAAGGTTCGTAATATCACACATAATAATATATTTTAGTACGTAAAATCTCTACCTTTTGTTTTTTCAATTTGGTCTATGTTGTCGCCTAACGATAAAATGTGGTCTTAGGGCATTTTTTATGAATTTACTTATATTATTATAAGAAAAAAAAATGTTTGATACGAAGTTGTCCAGGCAGCGGTTAAAAATGATAAATGAGTTTGGAGTCAAAATTGGTGGAGAAGACGAAAAAATTTCAGCCGATTTTTCAGGAACTCCTCCTGATTGTTGGCTTTCGAGGTTCGTAATATCGCACATAATAACATATTTTAGTATGTAAAATCTTTACTTTTGTTTTCAATTTGGTCTATGTTGTCCCTAACGATAAAATGTGGTCTTAGAATTTTGTATGTTAAATGTTTGTAAAAAGTGTTCAATTGGGGATTGGCTATAGGTTTTTAATCAACATGGGAGAGGTTGAATTTTGAGGCAAAGTTGTTGACCAATCAAAAGCTTATTTTTGTTGGTCTAAAATTGGAAAGGATGCACATGCTAAAGTCTACAAGCGTAAGTAGGTCAGGTTTAACATGATTTGTTGTTAATCAAAATGCTTTGTTACTTCACTAATTTATATTGATTGGGATGATGTCATCTTATAACTTTTTGATGTTTAAAATCATGTTTGCCATGATATTCATTTGTTGTGAACATCTTGTTGTCTTGGTTAAAGGTATCTATGTGGTGTGGAATCCATTTTCCTTCTTTTAAAAATATTTTGTCCCGACCCCTTGTGACTCATGCAACATTGAACAATAATCAAATGCACTTTCTGGATGTGGTGAGTAAAATTACTTGATACTTCCTGCGTGATATTTAAATTTCGGAACAAGATCGTGTTCAAATAATCCAAACCGTTGAAATGCTTTTTAGTATACATCTATGTATCTATCAAATGCATGTGATCAAATAATCCAAACTTCATTTGTGATATTTATATAGGAATCATATTTAGTAGTGAACTCTCTTTAGAGGAATAAACCAACGAACTATACATCTATGTATCTATTAAATGCATGTTAAAAAAAAAACATTTCAACCGAACTTAGTGAATTTACAAGAAGCATGGCATCGAACGTTTGATTTCTTCCTCTTCTGAGCTTCATTCCACCATCGCTGCCCAAATCCCCAAAACACCAATGGGAATTCATCCAATCACCTCTTTGAGGTGGAATTCATAAAACATATAACAATCCAAAAGTTGGAGTCTTGCAGCCAATGTCTTCCCATATTTGTTAACGCAGTTATATCAATCAAGATTTCAGATGATATCTAATCCTTTGATCAATGTTACAACTTTGTTGATTATGAATCCAATTAATCACGAATACTAATTTGATACAGGCTTCTGATTCATCTAAATTCCTAATTTTGCATTGAATGTGTGTACTATGCAGCATCTATCGCTCTTGTAGCTTTATTTTCCAACCAGGTTCGTTTATTTCACTCTTGTATTCAACATTTTTTAGATATACTTTATAGCTCATGCCCATCCAAAACAATCCTTTCTTATATTGTTTTTTTTATGTCACTTGTATATTTTGTCTGGAGTGTTTTAGGTTCGATGGAGAAATCAACATCACTATAGGCTCATAATTTTCACTTGCAATTGTGGTATATGTAGCCCACCAACCAGGTATTCGATAAAATGCATTCACATATTATAACACTTAATAATTACAACACATGATTAGCTCTAAAAACTTATAATGAAGGTTCCACGTTACCTCTGATATGAAATTTTAACGGGCTTAATTTAATTGTGAATTCTATATCATTATGGTAATATATTAATGATCATATAAACTGAATGACAGATGCTAAGAAAAATGGAGGTCTTAACCCATGTAGTTTTACAATCTAAGAATTGTGTCTAAAAGAAGATTAAGTGATAAAAGAAGAGAAAGTGAAGTTTTTATTTTATAACTCATACCCTGCCATTTTAAATGTTAGAAAGTAACAAGAAGTGTAGGTGTGAGAAAGGGTAAAATGCAAACTTGTTTTTTTTTAGTTTTTTTTAACATCATTATTGGTTTTGTTAGTTGACCATAACCATGTAATCATCTACACATTTTGATGCAATTGTTTCAATAACCCTCTTCACATTATAAATATTGGAAAATTATTAACTTGAAGTAAATAAAAATTAAAAATCTTATGTATTTGAATGATGCATGGTGTTTTTAGGATAATTTCCCAGCAAAATTTATTATTTTTCCCTAACTTTCCAGTCTCATGACTCGGCCATAAGAACTCCAATTTGGATAAATTTTATATCGTTGGAAATCTTGTTAGGAGTACTACAAATTCAATATTATTTGTGTCGTCTGCATATGTCTAGAACATGAGTTTTTCAGTTGTGAACATGGAAAGTCGAAATATTATAATATTTCAAGTGTTTGAACAACCAACTTTAAACGACCATATCTCATTCATTACATATCCATTTTGTAACACATGTTCCTGGTATTATTTAAATTATCAAAATTTTAGGGTTTTGTGCATGGACTCGGCGAGTTGGGGAGCTCCAACTCGGTAAGTAGAAGTTATTATGAGGACGCGGGTTTTCAATCCTACTCGACGAGTCGGAAGACCCAGACTCGCAGAGTAGGTGTTGTAAAGGAAAACTCTATTTTTTTTAGGGTTTTCACCCTATTTAAAGAACATAATCCGCCTCTTGTGGCCTCCCTTACCACCTTGTTAGCCAGAGAAAACCCTAGTTGGACCTTGCACCTTCTTGAGTGAGAGAAAGAGCTTTAGTGAGCAATTTTGGTGTGTTTGTGAAGGATTTTAGAGCTTGAAGAAGAAGGAGCAAGGAGAGAAGCAGTAGATCCGAAATCTACTTTGTATTGGGCACCATCTTGAGGTATAAAGTCGTCACCTTGATCTCTAGTTTCTTAGATCCCTTTTCTTGGAAGTAAATGGCCATATTTGGTGCAAAATGGAGTCATATTCGTATTTGGACTTATCACAAGGATATGGTTCCAAATATGGACCTCTCTAGGTCCCCAATGCCATAAAGTTGCTCACTTTATCCAGCTTAGGCCCTTTCCATGCACTAAAACTATGTAGGAAGCTTGGTTTTGATGTTTTGACCTTGGAGGACCTTGCATGCACGTATAGTTTTGTAACGCCCGCAGATTCGGGCTAGTCAATTTAGAGGCAATAGGGGTCGAAAATGACTTTTCGACAAAAGATTATTTAGAATAAATAATCTTAACCAAGTTGTATAATATGTCACAAGGTTTTCGTACATATAAAGAACGCCGAAATCCGAGTTATAACGAAGAAGTTATGGCCCGTCAAAGTTTCGCGACGGAACTGGCACGACACCGGGAAGTATAAATAGTGAATTTACTATGGAGGACTTTTTAGCCTTAGTGATCTAAATGAAATTCATAGAATATGTTAAACTAAGAGCATCGATAAAAAGAACGCCCAAATCTGACTTCGTATAAGGAAGTTATGATTTTTCTAAGATTCGGCTTAGCAGTGTACAGCCCGAAACTCGAATTATAGTTCGAGCGGTTTTTGGCTTACGTGACCTAAATGAGAGTTGAAGGTCTCATTAATAGGAACTCAACGGTAAAAACACAGACGAAAACGGAGTTCGTATGAAGGAGTTATGAATTCTTCGCGGTCATTTAACAGTCTATACGCCTCCTACTATTAAATTTGAGAGCGGTCGAGAATTAGCCGACGGAGTCCAAACGAAAGTTGTAGATCTTGATTTTACCTACGCGTGGATATAAAGAACGTCGAAAACGGAGCTCGTATGCGAAAGTTATGAATTTTCTAAGTTTGAAGGCTGATACGCGATAGGGGGTGGCGTGGCACCACCAAAATTGGACACGTGGCACCACCAGAAGGCCACCACATGGACCAACTCGGCGAGTCATGACTCAGACTCGGCGAGTCCATCAGATTTTCCACTATAAATAGAGGTGCCGGGTCTAGCCTCTTCTTCACACCTCCCAAACCTTCTTTCTCTCTCTAAACTCTCTCTCTAAGCCTCCCTAACCCCCTAAAGCCTAGGGTAACTCCCTAGCACGAGGCGGAAGCCCCAGAGTGCCCGAAGGCTCTGAGAAAAGAGCCTTTCGGCTCGGGAAACACTGCTCCAGCAAAGCCCGGTTTTGCGAAAAACCCGCTGTAAGTGAGCTACGCCTACGCTAGTTTTAATATAGCTTCTAATTAATTATAGTAACATTATTAGGACCTTAAAATAATTGTTTGGGCTATTATTATGAGTTATATTGAGTGTTATTTAATGCTTATATAATAATAATAATAGCTATACTATTAATTAGTCGCGGTTATCGTTAGACTAAACCCTAGTGGTGTTGATACTAGGTTTTATCGAAGGAAATTGTTTTGAGAGTATCGAAGCGCTGTCCGAGTGTTGAGTCACCACCTATCAGGTGAGTGCATAGTCCCTTTCATCTTACACATAGATATGAAGTATTTTAATATAAATTATGTGCGATGTGTGCATATTTTCTGAATACTTGCTGTCTATGCTGGGTGAAAGATTTTATACATGTTTTAAATGATTTAAATTGTATATGTATTTTATATCTACGATAATGTTGGGGTAAACATGGGTAGATATAATAGATGGAATATGAGTTGAATGATGAGTTGAGAGGTGTTATAGACCACGAGGTGAGGGTGAGAGGTGGATAATGTGAGAAGCCTTTTTCCCAAATGATGGCCCCGTCCTTCAGCAGAGTATGGATGATAACCACAGACTATTCTAGACAGTCAGTGGAACACTAACAGGCTCGCAACCTGTAGGTGTTGTGAACAATATGTTCACTCGGTGTACTCTAAACCCTGGTGATCATGCAGACTTGATGCCTAAACCTTGGTGATCATGCAGACTTGATGTCTAAACCCTGGTGATCATGCAGACTTGATGCCTAAACCTTGGTGATTATGCAGACTTGATGCCTAAACCCTAGAGACTATGCAGACTTAGTGCATGTTGTGTAAACCGTGGCTATGATGGACTTTGTGTCGATTCCTTAGGATAATCCTTAGGAATGAATGAACGAGAAATAGTTGATTCTTAGGGTAGATCCTTAAGAGTAAAGAAGATAATGGGGATGGGTAATTGGGTTTAATTGCTTGATTGTTTAAACATAATAATTATATTGTTGTGGGTTGAATACCCTATGTACTCACCAGGTTTCCCAACCTGACCCACTCAGTTTATTTATATCACATGTGTTGATACGAAGTCACTTTACACTGGGAGATTTAAAGAGATGTAGATCACTAGTGTAAATAAATGTAAGTTCTGTTTATGCTTATGTTTCTGTATTAACGATGACATCCCAAACGTTTTGAAATGAATAAAATACGTTTCTCCGAAAATGTTTTAATAACGTATTTATCATGTTTTTTCTGGGAACAAATTCCGCAACATTTTTATGTAAAGAAGAACTCTGATTTTTATAAAGCATAAACAAAATCGGTCTTTTCTGGCCGTGATATTGGGGATGTCAAATTTTGGTATCAGAGCATTAGTTTAAGCGAACTAGGAATATGGATTTATTTCTAGACTTAAACTTAGAATGCTAAGTAATGATTGTGAGGAGTGTGTCAAATAGATTTAGGTAATGCACCTGAATAGACACAAGCACTAGCTTATTTTAGGAATGATGCCTAAATTCCTTTTATGTGCTAAATACTTGTGCCTGATATGCTGTTATTTGTTCGGATCTATGGTCTGTTGCCGACCGGATCTGGAAACCTTATGTGTTTAGGATTCTAAGCGTTTAGCTACGATATTAGAACTAGCATATAAACGTTTCGGAGTGATAAGGATGATTTAAACGTCAATCTTAAGTAAAGGTCTATATTCACCTTATTCGGTGTATAGATCAAGATGGAAAGGACCCATAGCGGAAACATGAATGCAAATGGGAACCGAAACCAACCCCCAGTGATTGAGCAAATACCGGTTGTGGTAACCGCTGCTGAGCCAATAACAATGGCCGGAGTGCAAGCGATGATTCAGGCGATGTTGGATCGTCAAATGGAGCAAACCAGACGTTTGCTCCAGCAAAATCGAGAAGAAGCAACCATACAGATCGAACGGCCCGAGTTGAATGAAGGGCAGACTGAGGAGGGAAACTACAGTGGGACTGTTGGTCAAGCCAACCCACCGATAGTTAGGCAAAACCACCAGGATGGAGGAAATGATGGACGTGGATGTAAATACAAGGATTTCATGGCGTCCAAACCACCGAGTCTATCTGGAAGCCCGACGCCGGTGGAAGTCATGAACTAGATCTCCGAGATGGAGACGATGTTTGAGAGTTGCGAGTGTAGCAACAGGCAGAAGACGGCTCTCACGGTTCCTTTGTTGAAATCTAGAGTACTAAGCTGGTGGAAGCTACTAGCCGATTCGATGCCCAAAGGAGAAGCGAGCAAGATGTCATGGGAGGATTTTCTGGTGCAGTTAAAAATGCAGTACTGCTCTGAGCAGGATCTTCTGGAGATCAACAACGAGTTTCAGAATCTAAAGAAGGGAAAGATGAGTGTCATCGAATATGCTGCAAGTTTTACAGAGAAAATGAAGCTTGTTCCTTATCTAGTTCCAACTGAGCTCTCCAAGGTCAATAAGTTTGCCCATGGATTACCAGCAGACTTTGGACCAATGGTCAAGCAAGCAACCACTTTGAAATGAGCCATCTGGGCAGCTAGGAATGTTGAGACCCAGATTAGGGAAAAAGGTCTGG